CAGGCTGGTCTCTAACGCCTGGGCTCAAGCGATCCTCTTGCCTTGGCTGCCCAAAGTGCTGGGATTACAGGCATGAGCCACTGCGCCTGGCCGCTTACCATAATCTTTCATGGTTCCCCAATTTTCCACTGAGCAGATAACCATAATTTACTTCACTCTTCCTCACTGTTGGACATTTACGTTGTTTCTACTTTTTCGGAAATACAAATACTCAGTATTGAATAGCTTTCTTAAAATCCCAGCTCCACCGGGCGCAGCGGCTCATGCCTGTAATCCCAGCACTTTGCGAGACAGAGGCAGGTGGATCACCTGAGCTCGGTAGTTTGAAACCAATCTGACCAACACAGAGAAACTCTACAAAATTAGCTGGGCGTGGTGGTGGGCATCTGTAATCCCAGCTACTCAGGAGGCAGAGGCAGGAGAATCGCTTGAACCCGGGAGGCAGAGGCTGTGGTGAGCCTAGATGGCGCCATTGTACTCCAGTCTGGCCAACAAGAGCAAATCTCCATCTCAAAAAAAATAAGTAAATAAAAATAAAAACAATTTTTAAAAATCCTGGCTCAGAGGACACACTCCTTTGAAGGTTTTTTGTTTTTGTTTTTGATGGAGTCTTGCTCTGTTGCCCAGGCTGGGGTACATTGGCATGCTCTTGGTTCACTGCAACCTCTGCCTCCCGGGTTCAAGCAATTCTTGTATCTCAGCCTCCTGAGTAGCTGGGATTACAGGTGCCTGCCACCACACCCAGCAAATTTTAATATTTTTAAAAGTAGAGACAGGGTTTTTCCACGTTGGCCAGGCTGGTCTTGAACTCCTGACCTCAAGCCATCCACCCGCCTCAGCCTACCAAAATGGATTACAGGCGTGAGCCACCACCGTGCCCAGTCAGTTCTTTGAAGGCTTTGACACGTGTTGCCAAAATGCTTTTTGGAAAAGAGGGGATTTTTTTTTGAGACAGAGTCTCACTCTGTCACCCAGGCTAGAGTGCGGTGGCATGATCTTGGCTCACTGCAACCTCTGCCACCCAGTTTCAAGTGATTCTCGTGCCTCAGCCTCTTGAGTAGCTAGGGTTACAGGCATGTGCCACCATACTTGGCTAATTTTTGTATTTTCAGTAGAGACAGGGTTTCACCATGTTGGCCAGGCTGGTCTTGAACTCCCGCCCTCAGGTGATCCACCCACCTGGGCCTCCCAAAATGCTGGGATTACAGACCTCAACCACCATGCCAGGCCTGAAAAAGTTTTTTTAAATGTACACTCCTCCAACAGCGTGTGAGATAGTCCCCCCAGACACCCTAAGTGACTGAGCAAGAGGGACTGTAATCTGGTAACAGATTCTGGTTGTGCTGTCTGGAACTCTACATGATACTCAGAAAATTCTCTGCCATATGTTAAATGATAAAACATTCAGCAGTGTATAGTAAGGGCCCTAAGAATGTGTGGGGTACAGCAATTCCACATCTGGACATCCATTCAAAGCACACTATCCCAAATGAAGACTGAGTTTTACGTACGGAATATCCCCTGCATTATTTATCATGACATTTAGGGTCAATCATGGCACATGCCAAAATGGAATCTCATGCAGCCATTAAAATAATGTTTATAATGTGTGTTCAGCAGTATATGAAAATGCTTCAGCTACAAGGGAGGGGAAAAGAGAAGGACCAGGTACGGTGGTGCACGCCTGTAATCCTAGTACTTTGGGAAGCTGAGACAGCTAGATCTCTTGAGCCCAGGAGTTCAAGGCCAGCCTGGACAACATGGTGAAACCCTGTCTCTACAAAAAATACAAAAAATTAGCTGGGCGTGGTGGCTTGGGCCTATAGTCCCAGCTACTTGGTAAACTTAAGTGTGAGGACTGCTTGAGCCCAGGAGGTGCAGGTTGCCGTGAACTGAGACTGTGCCACTGCACTCCAGTCTGGGCAACAGAGTGAGACCCTGTCTCGACAAAAAAAAGAAGAAGAAATAAATATATCAGGTTACTCTGGACACACTGCCTATGGGGTAGCCCTGCTCCGCAAGGAGCATATTAAAATAATAATAATAAAAAAAGGCTGGTCTCGGTGGCTCACACCTGTAATCCCAGCACTTTGGGAGGTTGAGGCAGGTGGATCACCTGAGGTCAGGAGTTCGACACCAGCTTGACCAACATGGTGAAACCTTGTTGGTTTCACTAAAACCTTGTTGGTTTCTACTAAAAATACAAAGTTAGCCAGGCATGGTGGTGTGCACCTGTAATCCCAACTACTTGGGAGGCTGAGGCAGGAGAATCACTTGAACCTGGGAGGCAGAGTTTGCAGTGAGCCAAGATCATGCCATGGCATGGCATCCAGCCTGGGCAACAAGAGAGAAACGTCTTC